GTAGAGACAGCAGCAGTGGGTACTAAAGACGTAAGAACAAACTCTAGAATACTATAAAGTGCAATCTTATGACCTAAAGACAGAGAGGGGATTATCATAATCTGGTCATCTAAAAGAACTACTGCGAGGATCATGTTACAACCTTAAGAAGAGGGATGCTATAAAACTAAAGACTTCTACCTATTAATCCTTGAGGAACCCTTAAAACTAGTGATCAAACCATAGAATCTAGAGATCCACGCGATCACTCTAAAAATAGACAAACACAAGTAATTGGATAGATGAATTCCTCAGTGACTAAAGCTCAGCCTATATAAGACATGACTTCTAAGAAGTCAACGAGACCTAGATCATTGTTGACTTTACACCCAGAAATCCATACCAACTAGACAATGATAATCATGACTATTAATCCAACGTGTGTTCCATCCAAACACAGGTCTAAAGACAGGTCTAATTATCTCAGGCCCTACATAAAACTCTAACCGACAATAAGCACACAGGAACTAAACCAAGGTCTAAACCAAGAAGTACCAACTATACCAGAACTTCTACACAAGGATGTGCCTCAATATCCGATGTCGTACTATAGAGATGCGCGAGGGACTAATACCAGTGATCTAAACTGAGCCGCTATGCGAGAGGAGCGCGAGAACTGACATCTCGAGGCAGCTAAGATAGGAACAATGAGAGAGCGAGAAGGACGGTGAGAACACGTCATGAACTAAGAACTAAAACCAAGGACATGAGATCTAGAGAGAATAACTATACCCATAGAACACCTAAACCAGACTAACACAGGATTAAACTAGAACTAAACACAGGACTAAACATAGCAGCAGCTTAAATATTAACCTCAGGATATTCTTATCTAGCCAAGAGTAATCTGATCTGTACATAAACTCAGGACTAAAATACAAAGAGTGATCAACCAAATACGGTAGAACTATACTAAACCAGAGACTATGACCTATGTGCTTAAATCACCAGAGTCTATATGCTAGTCATAGAAAGTGACCACTAACGCGTCTAATATCCTGGTACTAAACACTAAGAGATACCATAATATCAGGTTCATTATGGCACCTAATGTGTCTCTTAAATCAGCATCAACTTAAACCGACTAACCTGGGTACTGGAAACCAGGTGGGCAAGAAGACAGATCATAAATGCATAGAGGATCGTAAATACCAGAATCTAATGAGTAATAAAAAGAGAAGGGAGACCGGGGTAACTATAGATCTATTTAATGAGTAAAGGACTAAACCAGAAGACTTAAACCGTGTGAGTAACTCAATAAACAAATAAGATACATAAGGTATCAATAAACCATTTGTACTTATGAGTCTATAATGTGCACTATAGACCAAGAGAATGAAACCTATAGATCGTTGTATTCCAGTGATCTATCCAACTTTGTGATGGATCTTTAGAGACCAGAATGAAACCAGGTCTCAACACCCTAGACCTAATTCCATGATATTCTGTAATAAGCACCAACCTCTAGGCACTCAAGAAACCAGGAACTTACATCACACAGAATACTAAACCAGACGTCAAGACGTCAGGATCATAAGACGCAGAAACTAATATGAAACCACAGTAAGCAAAACGTGTGCAAAACTCAGTAAGTCTGTGAGAGAGCGATGACGGTTTTATTCTTTTCTATGGTACGTTTAAAATACCGTAGAGACTATATCTGAGGACCTAATATTACTCTATGACATAAAACAATTGGACCTGAGAACCATTGGATATGGGAAACACGGTCTAAAACTAGAGACTAAACAGGACTAAACCGAGGCAACTCAAACCAACTGTGATCGTGAAACCAGGACTGTTGATATTGGAATCGAGAGCACTAAAGACACCAGACAAAAGATAGGTACAATGAAGACGGGAGGTGCCAATAACCAGAACGTGAGAGCCAGGACCCTGAGAAGACAATGATCACGGACTTAAACAAAGAAATCGATCCACCTTATCGTGAATACTTGGGGAACGTGAAGACCACAGTATTAAACCAGGTCTAAACCAGGTCTAAACCAGCGTCTAAAACCAGGACTAAACCATGGATAACAATAATAACGCGAGAAGATCATTAATACCAGCATCCTAAAAACTAGGATAAACCAGGGACTTAAAGCATATTTGGACTAGTACCTAGACATACTTTTAAGGTACCAATGTACCTATAATACCTAGTGTAGCATGAAACAATATGACTAATAACCTAACATGTCCTCTTCTTAGGACTAAATACCAATCTTAAATATCTAAGGTCCCTAAACTTGAGGACCTAATAACAACTAAACCGCCCAGACTACTCTATGAGAACGTCAAGCCATAACCACAGGCATTAAACCATGGACCTAAACCGGCCCTAAACCTGACTTACGAAACCAGGCCACATAAACCAGGGACTAACCAGGCCTAACTAGGACTAAACTCAGGATCTAAACTAGACTTTACAAACTCGAGGATCTAAACACGAGGACCTAAACCAGGACTTTAAATCCAGAGCTAAATTATTCCAGGTCTAAACCAGGTCTAACCATGACTAAACTAGGACTTAAACCAGACTAAACAGGACTAAACCAGACTAACAGAACTAAACTCAGACAAAACCAGGACTAAACTATGACTAAACCAGAAGTTTAAAACACCAGGAAGGTCTGAAAGGCAGCGTCGTAAACTCAGCGTCTACATTCACGCGTTCTATAACCAGTGTACTAAATCCTCAAGGTGACTAACACCTAGGATGTCTAGAGAACACATCGTCTACCAAGCAGATCATGAACAACGCACAGGACTACTCAACCGCGACACCGGTACCTCCTGCAGAGTCTCACACCGCTCTAGATAGACGCGCGTCTACAGACTCTCTGTAGGTATCAAAATTGCAACAGTTCCTTAATTACCAGGTCTAAACGTCAGGATCTATAATGAAAAGAGTTAAACCAGGGACTAAACCAGACTAAACCAGACTAAAACCATCCAAAGGTTAAACCAGGTAAACCTAATTAAACCAGACTAAACCAAGACTAATACTAGGTCATAAACAGTCCTAAAACCAGGCTCAATAACCAGACTAAACAGGTCTAAACAGGCCTAACCAGGACTAACCAGGCAAACTGAACCGCCCAGAATTAACACGCTTACTAGGACTTCCTGACAAGCAGGGACTAAATGGTCTAAACCTAGGACTATATAGAGCCAGGCGACGGGACTGGGGGCAAGGACTTCCACCCCTCCTATGCCGCACGGAACTAAAACTAACCAGGACTTCAGATTAAACGTGAATGGCACTTAAACAGTGTTTCCGAGGAAAAACCAGTCTCCAAAACCAAAGGACTAAACCAGGACTAAACTAATAAAAACAGGACTAAACTACTAAACAGAAAAAATAAAAGGAAACGGCTAGACTAAGGACTAAAACCAGAACTAAACCAGGCAAACAGACTAAAACCGACTAAACCAGGACTAAACCAGGACTAAACTAGGACTAAACCAGGACTGAACCAGGACTAAACCAGAACTAAACCAGGACTAATCTTGGACTAGAACTTGGAGTCTAGTTCCAGATCAGATGGTCGTGTCACACATCACACAGAGAACAGCAGCGTTAGTTTATCTTTATTATTTTCTTTACATTTTTTCTTTCGCCGCAGAAGCCGTTTTCACCTCAGATTCGTCTCTACGAGCAGATATAGTTCACATCCATACATCTTTAAAGCAACAGTACGGGTTATTTTGGATGAATACTGACGGTGGGTTAGTCCAAGCAGCAGCGTGTGAATGAACCTTTGGGTTAAAACGAAAATCTGACTAAAGATAAAATCAAAATGTGAAGCAGCCGGTGAGAAAAGGCTGATTCAAAGACGGTTGGTGTTCAGACGGCGAGCTCCGGAGGGACGGACGTGACGCTCTCGTTACCGTGGTGACGTGTAAACTACAGCAGTGAACGGGCCGAAGCTCAGGCCGTAGGTCACGCAGGTGTTTTAAAGTCGACTCAAACTGTTTCTGAAAATTAACCCTAAAAGCTCGGCCAAAATGTAAAGATCTAAACACTTAAATCTGTCAGAAAATAAGTTAAAAATACAGAAAGGATGTGTCCTGGTTTAGTCCTGGTTCAGTCCTGGTTTAGACCTGATTTAGTCCTGGTTTAATCCAGTTTTAGTCCTGGTTCAGTCCTGGTTTAGTCCTGGTTCAGTCCTCGTTTAGACCTGGTTTAGTCCAGTTTTAATCCTGGATTAGTCCTGATTTAGTCCAGTTTTAGTTCAATTTTAGTCCTGGTTCAGTCCAGTTTTAGTCCATTATCCATTTTTTCCATTTTTCATTTAAACACAAAATCGAAAACTGATAAAAACGAATCCTTATCTGTTTTTTTCATTTTATTTTTGGAGACAAATAATAGTTTTGTTTTCTCGTTTTTCTTATTTTTAATTTTACTTTGAAAAACGAGTGAACGAATGATGTTCCGTCCCTCCAGACTCACCTGAACATGTCACAGGTACGACAAGGATTTTACGTAGAAAATAAAGAAAATAAAGAATATAAAGAATATAAAGAATATAAAGAATATAAAGAATACATAAACTCTGATCTGTCGTTATAAAATCTGAAGCACTTCCTGTTACAGCGGGCAGGGCGGGGTCGGCAGGTGCTACAGCGGGCAGGGCGGGGTCGGCAGGTGTTACAGCGGGCAGGGCGGGGTCGGCAGGTGCTACAGCGGGCAGGGCGGGGTCGGCAGGTGTTTACAGCGGGCAGGGCGGGGTCGGCAGGTGCTACAGCGGGCAGGGCGGCGGTCGGCAGGTGTTACAGCGGGGGGCGGGGTCGGCAGGTGTTACAGCGGGCAGGGCGGGGTCGGCAGGGTGCTACAGCGGGCAGGGGGGGTCGGCAGGTGCTACAGCGGGCGGGCAGGGCGGGGTCGGCAGGTGTTACAGCGGGCAGGGCGGGGTCGGCAGGTGCTACAGCGGGCAGGGCGGGGTCGGCAGGTGCTACAGCGGGCAGGGCGGGGTCAGCAGGTGCACGCTCTCCTCGCTCTGGGGGAACAGCGAGTCCCGGAAGCGGATCATGTGACCTCTGACCCGGGCGGGGCTCAGGGCGTCGTCCACCAGGATCCGGCGCACGGGTCGATAAACACGATAACGCCTGAAACCAGAGAAGAAGAAGAAGAAGAAGTCTGAGACGCAAGGAAATACTCACGCCAAAGTACTACTATTACTATTACTACTGCTACTGCCACTACTATTACCACTACTACTACTACTACTACCACTACTACTACTACTTCTACTACTACCTTTAAGTCATGCTTTATTGTCGTTCCCTTTATAGAATCAGAGCTGGAGTTGTGTTTGTTTCATTTACATGTTTGAGTAACTCTCCAAAGCTCCAAACGCTCTGCTCCACTTTGTGATGTCATGAAGTGGTAGTTTTTAAGTGAACAGGGTTCCTCCTGCTGTGTCATAAAAAACTCTTAAAAACACAGAATTAAAAAATTTCAAAATAATGCCTTAAAAAGTCTTGAATTTTTATATCTGTTTCTAAAATTTGTTCAGAAAACGTAACTTGTCCGTATTACATTTCTCCTCAAAAGTTAAATTTGTCAACCACCATTATCATTTTTTTTTTTTTTATTTATTCATTTATTTATTTTTATTGTTTTTTTTTTTTTTTTTTTTTGCTGGGGTTATTTTGAGGGAAAAATGCACAGATATGATGTTTGGTACACATATTTTGTAATTTGCTATTGAAATGTATAAATGAAATTATATATATAAAAAAATAAATCCTTGTCACTGAAGATCACGCTCATGGATCTATTATTATTTTTATGATAGTTCTATGATCACGAGCTACAGCAACACAAGAAACAAGCTCAGCAGAAAAGTAAAACCAAAGAAAATCTCAGCAGAACACAAAGTTTGATTAACACCATTTTGTTGTTTTCTAACATTTTTTAACGTTGGTTTTAAATTATCGTGTGATACATTTCATGCTGGAGTTATGGAGAAGAGTCTCTACTCCCAGTGTCCTTTGTTTGAGAA